GAATGGAACTGGAGGAATCAACCTGCCTGACTTCAGACTATACTACAAAGCCACAGTCATCAAGACAGTATGGTACTGGCACAAAGACAGAAATATAGATCAATGGAACAGAATAGAAAACCCAGAGATAAATCCATGAACCTATGGTCACCTTATCTTCGACGAAGGAGGCAAGGATATACAATGGTAAAAAGAGATTGGTTTTTTATGTGCTGTCTTTTCGTTCAATTTTTCAGGAGGCATGCAGAGCACTGTGCATTGTCATGCTGTGAAAATGTGTTCAATAAAACCTAGATATGCTTTATTAGGACCAAAGAACTTTATTTAAATATCAAAACAACACAAAGAACTAATTCAGCATACAACACACTTCCTAGTCTTCACAGAGAACTGAATTTTTCTATAAAGACATTGGTATTCAGGAAACACAAGACAGTCAAAATATCTATAAAACTCACAAGATACTTTACACACAGTTGACAAAGTAATGAGTCTCGGTATTGTAGATTTTTCTTTGTAACTGCTTTTAAAAGTTCTAATGATTAAAAACAAAATTTAAGATTGGAGACTGGAAACAGGGTTCAAAGGCATTTCCACTTTAATGTACATCATAAATCTCATAATCCAAGTGCCCACCTCTGTGCTCATTTTTGGCAGCCTCACTCATCAGCTGTAATAGTTTTATCCACAGGGATAAGAACAGTCCGATTGTTACAAGGAATAAAAATTGTGTAATCATAAAGCAGGAATACCAAGCAGGGTGAGATAACAATAAGTGTGCACATTCTTCATTCAAGACATATTTTAGAATCTCTAGCAGTTATAAGAGCACCAAAATTACTTCTTTACCTAAGAAGTTAGGGGGAAAAAAGTGGAACAAAAAGACATATCCATTTTGTATAACCTCTATTCTCTGAATATAATTCTTATTTTCTCTTTATATGAATGGCTATAGAGGCTCAATTCAAACTATTTGGGGATTTTTCAACAGTCAAAGACTGAAGATCACTGCACAGCAAGTTGAAAGATGAAGAGTAAATACAGGGCAGATACTCCTTCCACCAGCCCTTCCCTTCATCCTCCACGTGACCTACTGTTGTTACTCCTGCCTTCTGAAGGCCACTGCCAGAGGAAGCACAGAAACCGCGCTACTAGTCCAGAATAAAAGTACCTTGAAGTAGAAATAATTTTTGAGGAAAACAGGGAATGGTCCCCCCTCCCCAAAAATCCACTATAGACTTTACAGAGAGGAATGTGCAAAAGAAAGGGGAGGACCGAAAAACAATTGTCTGTGGTTCCTAGAAATTACTAGAAAATTATTCTCACATTATCCATTATTCAGCCTAATAGTAAGTGACATTTACCATTAACACTATTACAGGTTTTAGAAATGCGACTTGCTGCTTATTAAAAAAAACATTTTACGTCATTTAAAATTTGGCACTGATCTTAGAATGATCCACGTATGACTTCAAAAGTCCTAATTTTTCCTGAGTTCATCAACTCAAGTTGTCAGTTGGCTGGGATGTTGCTGCTTTTTAGAGACTCATCTCAAACCATCACCTCTGGCTCAGTTTTAGGCAAACTGAGAAAAGAAGCTGCTTTTTAGAGCAGGGTGGTTTGGTAATGGATTATTCAGAAGAAAAGGTGGGAGATGGGAGGAGATGGAGAGGCAGACACACTGCTCATTTTACTTGTCAGATTCCTCTAGTGAGCATCTAGAGACAGGCCCCGGAGTGGCTTTGCAGTAACTTAGAAAGGCCACAATAGTAAAGATTAAAAAAAAAATTCATACTAGTACTTGATGCCAGTTTCCCTACAAAATTATAAAGCAATCTAAAAAAAAAAAAAAAATACTGTTGCCTGACCAGCAGGCAACACAAACACAAGACTCATAACAATAACAAAACAATCACAATCATTTATTAACCAGCACAATCTAGCCAGCAGAGTCAACTCCAAGCTACTACAAATTGCTACCTCGAACTGAAAAGGCACGAAGTATCCAATCTAGGGATGACTGGGCGTGGACAAAAGGACACTGTCACAGAGCTGATGCTCCACATCTGACTTTCCACCAATGATACAGCAGAATGATTTGCTAGAAGGGAATGCAAACTTACACGGACACACACCAGTTAATGGTGTCTTTAATTCGTTTGTCAATTACAGAGTGAAAGCAATGAATGATATTTAAATACCTACTAGCCCTTAACTAATAGCTTACAGTCACTCACTCTGCAAAGATGTTTTGACAATTTTAAGGTTGACAGAAAATTATTAGTGTACCTACTTCATGATGTACCATCACTTTAAAGGAAGTCAATTAGTAAAGCACCAGTTTAAAACCCTATTTTTGCTACTCCTCTTCAATAAATGACTAAGTTACTTAAAAGTATGCAAAGATCACTGCCTTCATAGCTAGTGAAATCTTGCTGGCATGAAGAATAAACCCTAATCTTAAATGGTATTTTAGGCTGCAAAAAAATAGGTGGGGTTTGTTACAAAAAAATCTTCAGTTTGTCCTAAAAAAAATTCTAAGGCAAAATTATTTTAATAGTGTAGTGTAAAAAATAAGCTTAGTATTATTTAGCAATTAATAGTGTCCACTTAAAAGATAACATTCAATTAATTAAACTGAGGAAACCAGAGTATTCTTACTTGTAATTGGTTTGTCAGTATGACTATTCCCAGAGTATTTTCTTCTGTTCTTATTTCTAATACATATAAACACAAACACTTAATCTTAGTATTCAAACTAATGATTTTTTTTAGAAAATCCATAATCCTAGGACTTCAACTGTGCTTCTTTGGACAAATATTTATTCAAACAACAAAGAATTTAAATTCTTTTAAACTATTTTAAAACCTACTAAAAATCTTTGGCGCGTTTAAGTAAAAATGGATTAGGTTAACAAATTTCTACATTTGATAAATTATTCAATTTACATAAGTGCTAACTGCTATCAGCTACAACAGTAATTTAAAACAATAAATTATGCTCATAAAATAAAAAATTCTTAATGAGGCTGATCTTAGTTGCAAGATTCAAAATTTTAAGTATAGTTACAGAATTCATGGATTTTAGAGTTAATGGAGCATTTGTCCCAGATACTCCAAATCAAATGTGACAAACAGTTAACTGAAAAGAGCAGGCCTCATTTCATATTTTTTGTGCCAACTTCAAAAACTCATATATACATTCAGTTTGCCCAAATCCATGAGGTTTTCACAACTGTAAGACTTCTTATATTCTGATTTGGAGATTAGAGGCAGCAGATTTGCTTGCCCGCTGAGACTATTTCTTCATAAGAATCATACCACCTACCTCCCAGACTGTCGTTAAGATTACATGAGAAAATGCAGTGCCTGGCACCTGGAGAGCATTCATTAATGCTCTATTTCTTCGCCTGTTAGTAGCTCTGCCACTTATTAACGATGCAGGCTTAACCTCAGATTCTTCATCTCTAACATGGGAATACAGCATGCCCTTTCTACTTCAGAGCTGGCTATGAGGTTTAAATGAGATAACTGTGAAAGCATTTTATAAAACAGTAAACTACTTTTCAAGTTTAAGTTATCTACAGTAATAAGTAAATATAATTATGTTTCACCTTATATAAGAGATGTATTCAAGAAAAGTTCTATACTGTAAACCAATTCCTACAATCAAATTATATAAAGCATTAGGAGATTATTATTAAAAGAACCCTAAAGTCAATACCTTCAAAAAGCAAAGTATTCTTTTGAATGTGAAAATCCAACACCCTCTTTTTCTGCTACCGAACATATAATATACCACACACATACACATATATACTATTTGCCTTTGTGTAAGTCCAAACTTTTCTACATTGTTTTAAATATAAAAGGCAGGGTACATTTTTAGAAATGATTTCTTTTCATCATAGTAAGTCTTTTAGTTAAAACTCTTGTAAGTCTTTATGATAAAAATCATAAAGAGATATGTTTTTAAAAGTCAGTTTTAAAGACAAAATAATAGTACCTCATATAGTCAAGTTCTATCATGTTAAGTACCCTAGACACAACATTTCCACACAAAAGTAAGAATGCTTTAAAAAGAATATTGATACATTGCTTGTATCTATCAGTCATAGGAGAATTATAACCAAACTTCAACAAATGAGGCAAAACTCAGGTTGGCTTTACTAGTTATATGAGCTACTTTGGTTAACTGCCCCAACTCTCAACTTTTTTTTTTTTTCTTTTAAATTTCCTCTAGTCTGGTAAATATTCCTGCAAAGTACCTTTATTTCTTAAGTGCTTCAGCAAACAAGTTTCCACATTATTAAGTGGTTAAAATTTTTTGCTAAACTTCATTATTTTATTTGTGATTTTTTTTTTTTCACAAGGGCTGGGCCAGACTTTACAGTTTACACACAAAAAAAGTGCTTAAAGCAATTAGGAGTGTAAACAAAACTGAAATAGAAAACTCTTAAAATTGCTATTTTCCAGTAGTTTACATAATGACATGCTAATAATAAATCAACCCTGCCTAGTCTCTAATCCTTCGAGCAGCTCCACTAGGAAACATCCTAGTTTAAGTTTAAATTGACTTCAGAGTATGGAAAGTGCACATCTTTAAGGTATTTCACAATTTTGACTGATTTTTTTTCCTCATTTAATTTTAATCAGTGAGGTTTTGCTCCAACTGCTATTTCCTTTTACCAAGTCCTCAACTTTTGTCTCATACAAAAATAAAAATTAAGGATAATCACAGACATTAGGGTTATATGTAAAGCAAAAATAAAGATCTAGGTTACATGTATATTTGTACACAAGGAGTGGTTCCCTCTAATTAAAGTAAATGAACATTCAGTTCAGTTAGACAAGAATTTTGTAATTTGTTGGCACTGGTTCTAATCATTAAACAAAAATCTCTAGATTCTATTTTCCAGAGTTACAGCTGGTCAAGGTAAATGAGACCAAAAGTGGCTTGTTAACTGAATTTTAATTAGTTAGATGATGATATATGCTGATATACTGTTAATGTTTCTGAAATAAATGGCAAAATACAAACAAACTTACTTTAAAAAATATCTAGTTAAAACTGCCATATTTTGCTTTTAACACATTTTCAACTTGTATATTTTAATGCCTACATCTGTATTTGCATTTCTTATTCATAATAATTGAAGCACAGGCAAAAACCAACCATTTGGATTAATTATTTCAGTTCTACATTTCATTTAACAAGCTAATCCTACATTAGTAAGCTTTCTGGTCTTGAGTCTGTCAAAAGACTAAAGAACAGTGATAAAGTGAAATTATGGCCAGATGAAAAAACAACACAGATCTGTCCCAAGACTTTCTTATAAATTCAAATTCCTAATTTCATTTCTTAAAAATCTGGAAGAATAATCATGAAACTTAAGTCAGGATAAGGAACAGTTGCAATTATCAGTACACTCTTACATTCCTTCTTAAAGGCTGCATGTTCCTTAACATTTGTTTGGAAGATGAGGAAAGGAGAAAAGAGGAATGAGACTAAAGGAGAATAAAAACTTCCACTGATGTTTAAAAACAAATACCCCCATAATGTCAACAGCTGATAGTTTTGAAAAGTTAAAGAGTTAAAAGTTAAAAATTAGCACTAAATAATTTTTTTTAAAAAAAATCACAAAATGTCCATTTCAAACATTATATACCTCAAAATGGGTCCAAATATTCAAATATGTTCAGTAAACAGAGATACATATTTTTCTTGATTGGAAAAGCTTCTGAGGACTTGAGAAACTATTATAGAGAAAATGAAAAAATAGCAGCCCCACTAATTTAAAAGCCGTCAGCGCTAGGCCACCACTGTGCATAGCCGCTGAAGAAGTCTGTGGAATGTCTGGATTCGCTCATGAATGGTGCTCACTATTAGACATGTTTTGGACAGCAGTGGAGTTATCAAGGCCCAGTAACGTTCCGAGGTAAGACTGTTCTCTAGGATCCAGCATCTGTTCGGGTCGGACTGGGTGAACTATATTTGCAGGCTGAGGAGTAAGCGTGTATTTCTCCAGAAAAGCTAGGTCGGCGGCTCGAGGGTAATCGGCGGCCGGCGGCTGTGGTGACAAGATCTCGTGCGCGGGGGGCGGGAGGGTGGTGGTGTGGCGCACCAGGTCCCCCTGCGTGTCGGGCATCTGCACCGGGACCAGCGTCACGGGGACACACACCTCGCCAGGCACGTTCTGTAGCATGGTCTTGGCTTCCGACTGGTAGACTTTGGGCTGGTCCATGTATTGTTTTGTTTCTGTTTGAAAGATTTTGTCATCAGATGAGTACTCTACCGGCAAGGATACAAGTGTTTCCTCGGAAGCACTGAGAGGGTCCTCGGGAGACTTTATGCCGTGAACGTGGTCAGTGTGGTATTTCAGCTTGTCCTTCCGTTTAAATGTTGCATTACAGTGCTGACAATTGAAAGGCCGGGCATCAGAATGAATGACCAGGTGTTTTGTTAAAGTTTTCTTAATTCTAAAAGATTGATTGCAAATTTGACACTTGTATGGTTTTTCACCTGTTTGAACACAAATGAAATTAACTGTAAAATACATTCAGTTAAGACAATAATATTAATTAAGCAGAAAATTTTCCATGTGAATACTTACAAGAACTTAATAAAAGCAATTAATATATGCTACCACAAAGTGGAGACAGTATAGTAACTGGTAAAGAGAATGAAGTCAAACATCAGAAAGACCTGGGTTTGAATTCTAGCAGTACTACTTACCAGGCAAACCTGGAGCAAACTCCCCAACTTCCAAGCACAATTTCCTCACCTGTTAACAGAACCTGCCTCACAGACTTGGTGAAAGGACTGAATGAGAAATGTACATAATAGTGCTTAGCATTATACTGGCACACGGTGAGGACCTGATAAACTTAGGCTATTGTTTCTAAGGCTTGCTCTCACTATAGCCCCTAAAGAAGTTGTAAAACTAGAGCATTTGATGCCTTCCTATCAAGAAGGATAAAAACTAAAACAGCAACTCTGATTAACCTGGGTCTTTGGATTGGAACAAGAAGTAGTAATACTGGTGTCTATAGCCTGAGATTAAAATAAGGAGAGTTGATCAGGATCTAGAATAAGGAAGCCAGTTTTCGACTGTCCCTGAGTCAGATTCTCACACTGTAGTTGGAGACTTCCTACTATTCCTTCCTATTAACATTATAAATTCCTAAAGTAGCCAGGGTGGTTGGTTAATCCCCAAAAGGAATGATTTTGTTACCTTACATGGAGACAGGGACTTTGAAGATATGATTAAGCTTAAAGACCCTGAAGTGGGGAGATTAACTAGGTAGGCCCAATCTAATCACACAGATCTTTAAAAGCAGTGATAACTGAAGATTAAGGGGTCAGACAGCTATGACAAGAGGACTCAAACCCGCACTGCTGGTTCTGAAAACAGGAAGAGGAGGCCGGGACTCAGGAAATGTGCCAGCCTCTGGAAGCCAGGAAGATCTCAACTTACAAACTAGAACCTCAATCCTACTCTTGAAAGTCAATAAATAATCCAACCGAGTGGGAACAGGCTCTTCCCTAGCGACTCCAGAAAGAAATGGAGCCCTACTAACACCGACATTTTAGCTTGGGTCATTCTTCTCACCCTACAGAGCTGTAACATCATAAGCTTGTACTGGAAGCCACTTTCATAAGAGATACACAAGACAAAGTGAACAGTCTAATATACATATAACCAGAGCCCCAGAAAGAAAACAGAGTATACGTCAGAAGCAGAATCTCAAAGAAAAAATGGCTGACAATCTTATTAAATGAAAAGCATCAAGTCATAGACGCAGTAAGTTCTACACAGCTCGAAAAATACTAATACAAAAGAGAAAAAAAAGCACATCTGGGCACACTATAAAAAACTATCAAAAATAAATAAAAGAAAAATCTTAAGCAGCCGATTAAAAAGCAATTCCTTTTAAATGAGCAACAATAAGATTTACAGTACATTTTTCAACAAAAACTGGAGAAGGTCAAAGAGGAAAAAATGACATTTAAAATATTAAAAGAAAAATAACCACTAACATAAATTCTACAGTCAGCCAAATGTTCTTCATAAAGTAAAAAGGATAAAAACATTTTCAGAAAATCAAACCCTATAAGTATTTGGTGCCAGCAGATATGCACAAAAGGGAATTCTTCATGCAGAAAGAATATGATTCCAGGTTGAAGAATGGTAACACAGGAAGGAGTGAAGAGTAAAATAAATAATACAAGTTATTTAAAGCAAAATAACAAAACAATAATGTCTTATGTCATTTAGAGTGTATGAAAATTAAAACACATGCAGTGCATAAAGGGAGAGAGATGAGGCATTGTAAGGTCTCTGGATTGTCTGAAAGGGGACGATGGACTAACTTGAGATAGAGTCTAATCATGTAAGAACACACACTGTGATCTACAGGGTGACTACGAAAAGAATACTGAAAGAATATGCAATTAACAAACTAAGGGGAAAATGGGTAATAAAAGTACTTCACAATTACAAGGAAGTGAAGACAAGGGAAAAAAGCATTGAGCAACAGAGGGGACAAATAGCACAATGACAGTTTTGGTAAATAATATTTTCTTGGAATGTGGTCACAATCTTTTTATTTATACCTTATCTGTGGCTGCTTTCATGTTACCACAGACAGCTGAGTGCTTGTGATCTGGAATGTCGGGCCCACAACATTTATGGCCCATTATTATGGGCCCACAAACTTTAACGTTTACTATCTAGTCCTTTACCAAAAAAGTAGGTGGACCTCTGCTTCAAATGATTTCTCCATCTAATTTCGTAACTTCCGTTAAGTATTGTCTTAATCTGTAACAGAGCTCATTTCCCTAGTTTTCCATGGGCAGAGGGATTTGTTCCTAATTCTAACCAACTGTGAGATATCCAGAGATGAGAATTCCAAAATCACTAGTTATCAAGTAATTACAATAAATCAATGGTTTAAAAAAAACTTAATGCAGTTACAAAGCCAGCCCTTAATAACTTTCTCCTCTAGGTAATTCCTATAGTTTTAAAATTCTTAAATCGTCAGTGGTTTCAAATTAACTTTTAACTATCTCCTTCAAATCATGAGTTTATTAGGTATATTATTTATAACTAGCATTGAGAATAGCATTAATATAGCATCCTCATTTCTTATTTCTATTTATGTAACCCCCAAATTATGACTTTTTCATTTTCAGGGAGATGTACTTTTATGTTTAACACAGTACTGTATCAGTAACAATTCCTTTTTCTATTTTAATTTTTAAAAAAGATTTGGCCATGTCAAGTCTTAGCTGCAGCATGAGGGCTCCTAGGTGCAGCATGCAGGACCCGGTTTGCTGGCCAGGGATCGAAGCCAGGCCCCTTGCATGGGGACCACTTAACCACCAGACCCAGAGAAGTCCCAGTAGTAGATTTTTTACTGTAACTCTATGCTATTAAAATTGCCCAAATTCAGTTATTTCCAATTCTCATTAAATATGAGAAATATGAAATAAATTATTTTCCCTTCCAGAACAGCAAATTGACAAATTTCAAACTAAATATAAAGCAAACAACCATAAATGTATTAATAGATTTCTTTCTTAAAAAGAAGGAAAAGAAAGATAGCACTAAGTCAGGTCTAACTCTTGCAATCCCATAAACTGTAGCCCACGAGGCTCCTCTGTCCATGGGATTCTCCAGGTAAGAATACTGGAGTGGGTTGCCATTTCCTTCTCCAGGAAATCTTCCCGACCCAGTAATTGAACCCAGGTCTCCCATATTGCAGGCATATGCTTTACCGACTATGTGGGAAGCCCAAAAAGAAGGAAAGAAAGCTTTAAAAATGATTAATTTACATGAGAAGTAAAACAAGAACTATGACAACATAGAGGAAAAAATCCAACAATCTATGTTTCAAAATATGGTAGAATTGCCAAAGGAAAAAAGGAAAGATTTAGAAAATGACAAGTCCTAGAAAGGGCTTCCCTGATAGCTCAGTTGATAAAGAATCCGCCTGCAATGCAGGAGACCCCAATTTGATTCCTGGGTCGGGAAGATCCCCNCTTTATATCTAAGAAAAGAAAAAGATTTGAGTGTTTTAATAGTGAAAATAAGTTATAACTTCATACATAACTGTCTCATTATTAAAGCAGAGAACGCCAAATGAACATGGAAATACTTCTTAAGCATCAACCTTAACTCTGGTTCTTCTTCCTCTAGTTATATTCAACAAATAATCTATAAAAAGATATCTTTAGATTTTCAACTTTAAACCACTTTAAGCTTTAAATCATCAAACTTTTATATTATTATTTTCTACTTAAAAATGAGAAGGAAAAATCATAGGGACCAAAAAAAAAAAAAGCAATGAGATGGGTAAGCAGGGGTTGACTACAAAAGTGCACCGTGGAAATGATCATAAGGCTCCACTCTAGACCCACTCCTAGCAGCCCATGCAGAACGTGTAAGAGACATATTCTGGTTCCATGCTTATCTAGGTCAGCATTACACTAAGTTTCCTGACACCTTAGACCATTTGCTCCAAATACCTACTCCAAGAACATGAATTCTTGCAACATCTCATACTCACACAATCCAAGTTATCAAGCCTGGATATCTAAATTGTATTAAAAAGTTGATGTTCAAAGAAAGTACATGCCTCGTTCCAATAAAGTACCATTTATCAGTGTCATTAAAGGGATCTAAATTCTGACAACAGCTTCCAATAACTGCTGTCACATTAAGTACAAAATGTAGGCAGTATGCTCATTTATACTTAGCTCTCCAAGAGCTACTACAACCAAATATAAGTGAAATCCCCAAAGAATGCCACAATTTTATATTAGTCATTCACTTCAATGTCTACCATCTCCTAGTGTTTGAATCAACTGAAAACAAGTATGAAAAATTATGCTACATTCAATTCCTTTACACCTGCAGAGAAGCTAGATAAGCTGGAGAAAGGTCATTGATTAACCTATCCTTGATTAAATAAAATAAACTATGAGATAACTTTTCTCCAATCTAGCTTTATCCAAGGTAATGATGATGAGAAACTTTGCCTTTTCACTTACTTTTGCCACACCTTCTCTCCAAGGTGTACACTTTTATAATGGACAGTGAGATGATCCCTACGACCAAAGCATTTTCCACATTCTTCACACTGATGAGCCTTCTCACCTTAAAGACCCAAATATTAAAAAAAAAAAGACCCAAATATTTTTGTTATAATATGCATGCCAATCTTTTTTATCCCCAGAAACAAATCATCCAGCAGCAAGACACCGTGGTAGAAAATAGATACCAGAAAGGTAAAGCCACCCTTTATTGGGGCTGTTTGCCTTATATTAATACTCAAATTTATCTTTCTTCAGTGACTCTGTACTTATTTTTAGGAATGTGAATCCTCCTCCTCAGTTGGAGAAGGAATCAGTAGCCTTTTGCTGCAGACTTCCAAATCTTGACTTTCAGTGTAACAGGGTAAGATAATGAAAGGACTTCCAAACTCAGGATTTTCTTTTTAGGAATATATAAGTCTGATATCAAACACCTCAAATGAACATACAATAAATCAAGATGAGGCTGTCTTATTTTTTATAAAAAAGGACCTGAACATTTTCAGATCTTTATACTTTACTTTTAAAGATTTTTCATCTGTGGGGATTTCTTACATTTGCAATGAGCCAAAATACAAATATAAAGGAAAATTCTAGATGAGTCCAATTTGTCACCTCTATTCTTATATTCAGTTACAAAGACTTGCTCTTTAAAAATCAGTCTCATTACCCGCGTGCCATCAAACCATGTGACTTCTAGAATCAGAAACTTAGAATTCTCCTCCTGAAAATGGAAATGCATAATTCCAATGAAAAAGTCATCAGACCTTTAGCATCTATTAAAGGTGGTAATAACAACTGCAACCTGCCTCGTTGGGATCATTTAAGAAAACGTTACATCTGCTGTACACTTTCCATTTAAATTATGTTTAAAATAATAATAATAATCACCTGTTCTACTGGGCTCAGAGAGATGGCTCTTTCTCATCATTGTGCTCATAAAGGTGGCTCTCTTAGCACTTCCTGCACATCAATCTGAGAGGAAAATATGAAAGAAATCCCCAGAGTATAAAAATAACAAATACAGAATAAAGATCTGAAATTGATCAGGACTATTAAGGTGCTCTTCCGAAGATAGGGTTTCAAAAATTCACTGATACATAAACTTTCCAATACCCCAATTACAATAACACTCTTGAAGGATCTAAGTTTTGCTAGCTTCTTTCAAATCCAATTAAAATGAGAAATATAATCTTGACTTCTTCATTCAAAAAAGTGCCAATGGTAATTACTGCACATACCCACATAATATGCAAAATGCAAATTTTGAGAATCTGATTAAAACAAATTTTAAAAGTCAGTTTGTGATCATAAAGGGTAACCAAATGATTAAAAATTACAGAGACCAAAAAAAATGTCACAAAATTATGTCTCTTTTTAAAAAGATGCTTAAAAAAACTTAAAAAGATGCTTTTTAAAAGAAGTTTTTATAATCAGCATTGTTTACAAAGGGGTGGCCAAATATACCAAGTTATTTAAATTACAGACAGCACATGGTGTGGTTTTTCAGGTGCTCTGGAAAAATCATTACAAAATGCGCCTCACCTGAATGTATCTTCTTGTGCTTCGTAAGGTGATCATGACGAATGAACGTTTTCCCACATTCATCACACTCGTATCTTTTATCATCATGATGTACTCGTAAGTGAAGTCTATAAAGAAAAAAAAAAATGAAGCCCATTGGCACTGGTGACAAGGAAGGAGAAAAACTTGATTAACTTTCAATAACGAGAGCTGGGCTGCTACTCAACCATGCTCACCCATCATTATTTGCTCCATTTCTGACTTCTAGGGGCCTTCCCACTTCACACCTGACTCCAGGGCTGTTTTTGGGCTGCACTTCAACATCTGCACAGACTCCACTACCTCTGGATGATATTCCTTCCTGATGTTGGGCTCCTAACCTGCTTCTGGGAACCTACTGGACGTCTAGGGGTGTCAGCCGGTGTTGCAGGACTGAATGGGACAGAATCAGAGTCGACAAACAAGCGCACAAGTGACGGATGTGTGATGATAGCAAATCACTAAGAATCAGTCCTATTCTGGACAACTGACACCACTTACGCACTGACAACTGAGAACTTAGCAAAGCCAATAGGGAATCAGCTTTCTGACAGTCACACGTCACTACTTTCCTTCACACCAACCAAATAAAGTGTGGCTCATTTTATAATCACCCAGAAACAGATTATAAAAGGTTATCACAGATAACAAGTAGGATTCATTTAACTTGAGCTATTTTTATCCCCACAATATTCCATCTGTATACATCCTAGTGAAATGAACAGCCTTTCCATTCAAGCTGTCAAAACAGGTATTGATTCTGCTATGACTAAAACAGTAAAATCAGCATTCTGTTTAAATTTAAAAACAGGAAATAATAAATAGTGTGAAAACTAAAATCATGAGAACACTGATAAGATTTAAAATTGTATACATATTTCACAATAAGTAGTCATCTATTATTTATTCATTTAAAAACAACTTCATAAATTGCAAAAGTAGTCAGCATTCAGCTGTAAAAATAATCACTTAAGTTACAAATTATTTTCAGAAAAGTTTCTAAAATTGAGAATCCTTGAGTTTTTTTTTAACAAAAACATTCTCTGATAATTAGGACTGAAAAAATACACCAACTTTAGAACTCGAGAGTTTTCACGAATTTTGATTCAAAGACAAGTAATGAAATATTTAAATAAAAATGACTCAATAAAGCATTACTCTTAGTGATAAGGAAATATATTAACATTTCATACTACAGAAAGAAGACAATATTAAAAGGCATAAAGAAGAGGCAAAAGTCTATAAAGTTTTCTGCATGGCTTTGCTTCATCACAAACATCAAAACATGTCTTAATTCATCAAAAAACTAACACAATGTTAAGAAAAGAGAGTATAAAGTGGAAATAGAATTTTATCTTACTTAATACAGGGGGAAAATGGCTTGACCTACCTGTATGAGCTTCCATGACGAAAACTTTGTCCACAGATACTACAGAGATGAGGCTTTTCTCCACTATGGATTCTTAAATGTTCTTTCAAAGTAGTTCTGTATTAAAAAAAAAAAGTATACATATAAACATGAAGCTACAGATTTCTTAATGCCAACCTAATACAGAAACACAGATTTCTAGAAAGCTTACTAGAAAGTTGTTAAAGCTAACATGTCAACTGTTCCCCTTTTCCTACAACATTTCTGCTTTTTATTGGATTAGTTGCACCAGTATACAAACATGTTTATTATGTCTCTCTTCTTAAAAAAAGCAAATAATTTAGCTTTGGCTTCCTTTGCTAATGGTTTGCTCAAAGATTTAATATATAGCTTATGTAAACTTCTAAGACATACAAATGAAAAATGCTCAATTGTCATTACTGAATTTTATGACAATTCAGTAAAACTGATGTAAATTTTAGTGGACAGAGTTTAGTAATATATAAGAAATCCAGTTTATCAGTACTATTCCTTTCCAATATGTGCTCACAACTTATTAAAGTAATGTTTTAAGCCAAAGAAAACTTCACAGACACTTGCCATTTCCAGATGGCAATGTTATACAGGGAAACCACATAAAGGATATTAATTGTTGCCAGTCCTAAAGACCGTGGATGGGTCACTGTGTAACCACTGTGGCATCTCCTACAGCTCTAATATTCGGAGATTCCCCACACGCATACACTAAAGGCTGAGGACGGGCAGACAAAGTTATCTTGAGGGGAAAGAAAGGAAAGCACGGTATGTCTGACTATGGCGGGCCTCTGCCTGTCACTAGCACTGGTTTTATTTCAGGCCCGCGCCCAGTGGGCACGAAGGTGAACGTGAACTGGAGGCAGAGCTCAAGCAGTAGGGGTCTCCCCCACCAAGCCCACCACCACCAGGAAAACCACTCCTAGACCCCAACAGGTAAAAAGATGGAAAGGCTGTTTTCCTTCTCAGTTTGTTTGATTTTTATTTCTACAGAAAGACCTGTAAGGGAAAAAATAATTTATAATGCATAAGATATACTTTATATTTTACTAACCTTATAAATACAAGTTTCCATATAAATATAGCATACTGAGTTTCCTGTCGCTGTACCCATTTGTTCTTTGAGGAAAGTGTCACTTCAATGGTTTTAAAATAATGAACTTCTACATACTGAAGAGTAGTAACAGGCACACGTTTTAAGAAGAGCGCGATATGCAGGATGAGGCAGAGAACACTCCCGTCACTACAACACCTTCACGCCTTCTCCTTGGTCTCCTCTCCCGCACGTCCCCCCAGAAACAACCGTGTAAGGCAGTCTTCCTGTCTTTGTTTCACTGCCCGTGGAGCACACGTCACTGAGCAGCACATCATGCTGCGCCGGGTCTGGGGCCCACTGCTCTGTGTCCGACTGTGTGACTCCACGCGGCTCTCTGCCACTGCGGGAGGGTGGCTGCCCAGCAGCAGGCCTGGTCGGGGACAGAGGAGAACCCACGGCTCTGACTTCACTGGCAGAGCAGTTCTGACTCTGCCGCTCCTTACTCCGCCTGCCCTTCACCCTGGTTCCAGAGGCCTCTGGGCCTGCCGGCTCCCGCACCTTCTGTGGACTCTGCAAGGAGACAAGGCTCTCCATTTCTCCATAACCGCTCTGGGGCCTGTCTTCCTCAGACCTGCGAGGTCAGTCCCCACCGATGCCTCTTTGGAGCTCTCAAACCTGGGCTGCTCCTGTTGCTGTCCTGTCTCACTGTCTCTGTAGCTTATGTCTTCAAAACGAATTAATGAATGAATGAACAAACAACCTTTAATGTATATTTAGTGGGGTTTCAGAAAGAGACAAAATGATCTCTCTGTTAAATTCACCATCTAAATCTGAAAATCCTGACTTCATATCACCTTCAGTAACATTTTATGTAATTTCTTTTATCTTTAAGTTTCAAATTAAAGCATAATCCAAGTATCTTATGTTACCTTAAACCTTGTAAAATATATTCATTGATCATTTCTACATAACAGTACTAGAATTTTTCTGGGTATTTAGATAATTCCTCACCTTTCTCGTACTGATTTTCCACAGATAAAGCAAGTCCATTTTCTCTTCCCACCATGGGTACACTCTATATGGCGTTTCAAATTTCCAGTGTCATTAAACTGGCGACCACATATATCACATGGGAAAGGACCTACAAAGGAAGAAATAGTGTGCACCTAAAGTTTAAGAACAGATACTAAATTAAATTTAATACCTGTGTTATAAATTCATACCTCCCACTACTAGTGCACATATAACACAACCAATTATCTATTTATAGTTTTCTCTTTCCTTCTAGACTATTTAGTCCCAGCAGACAGGGTACATCTCTAGATCTCCAGAGCTGAGTATAGCACCAGGCATCTGGAAGAATAAATGCTGAATAAACCAATGGGTTCATAAACTGAAATGGCCAACTCCTAGCTTGAAATGAGACTAGGACAAAGTAAAAAATGCTAACTACCAAATTCCGGGGGGAAAAGAGGTAATAAGAAATTTCAAAGACTAAACAGAGGGCTTAAAAGAGCGCATGGTTTGCAAATATACTGTTGCTCCTTATAACCAAAAAAATGTAATGATATTGTCTAGACTGAAAATACTGTGGTACATTTCTGTTTAGTCTTACAAAATTAAGAACAAATTTCTTACAGTAATATTAACTGGATTCAAAATGTCACCATGATTTTACCAAATAAATGACTGGAGAGAAGACAGAATTCTGCTGAAGGGCAAACCAAAAGGTAGACAAAGGATGTGTGAAAAAGTATGGTGTGCTTACTGTGCCCTGCCCACTGAACCCCACCATGAAGAATCTGCCATTTCAACCAACTCCAGACAGAAAATATTTGAAAACAAATCCATAAAGTTCCAAAGAGCAAAACTTGAATTTGCCAGGCCCTGGCAATCATTTACATAGCATCTACATTGTATTTTGTTGTTTACACGCTAAGTCATGTCTGACTCTTTTATGACCCCAAGAATTGTAGACTGCCAGGCTCCTCTGTCCATGGGATTTCCCCAGGCAAGAATACCAGCATGGGTTGCCATTTCCTTCTCCAAGGTATCTTCCTCACCCAGGGATCGAACCTGGGTATCCTGCCTAGCAGGCAGATTCTTTACCACTGAGCTACCAGGGAAACCCACATTGTATTTACAACTATTTAAATAGCATTTACATTGTACTAGGTATTGTAAGTAATCAAAAGATGATTTAAAGCACGCAGGGGGATTTGCACGTTATATGCAAACATTACCCCACTTTATATGAGGGACTTGGGCATCCTCAGATTTGGGTGTCTGGGGAGGTCTTGGAACCAACCCCCACGGATACTGAGGGGCAACTGTATTCCTCATTGTGCACAGACAGCCTTGAAAATATCTGAAGTCAGCTGTTCTGTCTCCCTTTCCCAAATAAAATATTTCAAGGTCCTTCAAAAGTTTTTCAGATGACATGATCTTAAGGCCCTATGTTGCCATAATTACCCACCTCTGGAATATATGTCAATATCCATCCTGAATGTGGTATCCATAAATGAATGCAATGTTCCAGATCAATTTAAAATCAGTAAGATGATGACCTTCCTAATTCTGAACAATACGTTTTCATTAATGTAGTTTAAAACTACAGTTGCTTTTGTCAGTCATATGACATTACTGGTTCAGACAGTATTTAAAAAGCTGCTGCTATTAATAAGCCCATCTGAAAACTGAGGCATCTGGATTCTGTACCATTTTACAGCTCTGCAACTCCCAATGACTGGGAGTCAGATCATTCCTGTATGGACAACTTTGTATTTATTCATAATTAATTTTAACTTAATTTGTTTTAACTTTTTGACAGATTTTTTTTTTTACATTTTTATTTTCTGCTACCACTCCCCCTGCGAGCTTTATGTCATGCTGCATATTGATGAAACCTGAGTATATTATCTTTTATCCAAGTTGTCAATAAAAACAGTGAATAGGACAGGGAAAAGGCTACTTAAATGATGATAATCCATTACTGGGATTAAACTGTCATAAATGTACCTATCTGGAACACAAGTCTCCGCTGTGGCCACAAGCAGGAGGGAGAGAACTCAGCAAATACAGCACTGCATTCCAAGTATACTAAGTTTACTGTACTCTCTGAAAAATGAGGGTTTTCTAAAACAAACAAAAATGCATACCCCAGGCACTCACAAACCTATCCGACAATCAACTGTGAATAAATGCAGTTCTGACCACGAACACACCTGCCACTAAAAAACAAAACAAACCCAGTGTTTACTCATCTCCAAGAACCCCGCCCCCCTCCACGAGCTCCCCTCCTAAGTGGCCCCCAGCAGCAGTCTCCCCAGCACGATGCGCTCACCAACAGTGGCTGTGATGCTCCTAGAAAAGTAACCTGCTTACCCAGATGGAACTTTTCTTGATGTTTTAACCGCGCAAATCGTGATTTGAAATGTTCTTCACAATATGTGCACTTAAAAGGTTTGTCTTGAGAATGGAGAATCATATGTTCCTCCAAGTGCGGTCTTCGAGTAAAAGATTTCTTACAAATCTAAAGGAAAATGCACATAAAATGTGAGGGAATGTGACTCTAAAATAAAAATATAAAGCTTTGATGAGAAAAAAACATATAAATTCAAGTAGTTAGAAATTTCTCCCAAAAGAAATTTACCAAAAGTATAATCAACTGATTGTACAGAAAAAAAAGAATGCCTTGAGGAATTATGTGTGCTGTGCTCAGTCGCTCAGTCCTGTCACAACACTTTGCAACCCCACGGACTGCGACCTGCCAGGCTCCTCTGTCCATGAGGATTCTCCAGGCAAGAACACAGAGTGGGTTGCCATACCCTCCTCCAGGGGATCTTCCCAGCCCAAGGTTTGAATGGACCCAGGTCTCCACACTGCAGGCTGATTCTTTACCGACTGGGCCGCCAGGGCGGCCCCAGAGGAATCACAGTAAGAAGTTATTTTAAATGAGCACTAAAGGCAGGTGGATTTCAACATCTTACGTTTCTAATAGGCTAATTCCTCAGATCATACAGTAATCTGAATCCTGGTCAACATTTCTAAATTCATTACCTGTATATTTGAGAATTAATTATATGTCATACTAGCCATTTATTTGATTAGGAATTGGAATTTAAAAACCTCAGAAAAATTACTTAAAAGTTTATCTCTTAAAGTGGTCAGAAAGAGTAGACACAACTGTTTAAAAAATCTGGTAGACATCAAATCTAGAAAGCGGGGTGGGGGGACAGGCTGCTGTAGTAACAACACATGTACTATCACCAGGTGGAACATGGCATGTACTAAACAGCAAGTGGAACAGAGCATGTACTACATACCAGGCACAAAGCTAAGTGGTTCTCACAACAAACCTAGGAGGCGGATACAATTATTATCATTTTACACGTGAGAATGATAAAACTCAGTAAGGTAAGAAAACCATCTTATAATAAGATCCAAATAATTAACTTCAATTCCTAGAAGCTGAGATCAGAGAAATGGTGAGAATGCTGTCATACAGATAAACTGAAGCCTCGGACTAAAGAAGACAAAATGATGGCTGGTGACTCATTTAAACAGTATTTACCTATTTAATGAAAAACTACTTTAGAGGGTATGGAAGAATAAAAAACACCTACAAATTCATTGCTTCTCCTATCACTGTAAAATGGAGACTGATTCCACTCTCCTTAAATTTTCCCTGGCTGGAGTGGCTTGTGTGACCAACAGAACATGCTAGAAGTGGTGCTCTGAGACTTCCAAAGTGAGGCCGTAAAAAGCCTGATACTGTTCACCTCAGCTTCCTAGAACACCCTTTCCCTCCTGGAGCCCAGCTGCCATGCTGGAAGGAAGCTCAAGCAGCCCCAGGAAGCGGCCCCAGCTGGCAGCCGGGCAAAGCTCCCAGCCACAGACCAACACCAGCTTCCGGCCTGGCGAATGAGGCACTTTGGGAGCAGCTCCAGACCAGACCAGACCAGACCAGACCAGACAGACCACCTATCAGCTGAAAATGACTGTGTGACTTCAGCTGGAACCACGTGGAACAGAAGAATCACCTAGAGAATCCTGCCCCACTGCTATTACTGAGCCACAAAATGATGAGATGAAAATGAAACAGTAATTTAAGGCCACTAAGTTTTCAGGTGGTTTGACATATAGCAACTGATAATCAGAAGTGGAGAGAAAATTCTAACATTTTATATTGTATGCAACAGTAATGTCACAGTTTATATAGACAACTATAGAAACATGTTATAGTGGTTACAATAAAAATAAAATCTAGGATTTCTATTTTCCAGATCCATCATCCAAAAAGTAACTCATATCAGGCTTAATTTGTAAAAATATTAGGATAACACTGTATAAAAGATTCTAAAAGTGATATAAGCTAAGTTTCTATTACTTTAAAATTGAATTACTTTCACAAAAGTTCACACTACATTTAATTTGGGATTTTCTACTACAAATTAAAATCTCTTACATCACATTTCCAACTTTCACTCTTAGTCTTCTTAATGGAAATAAATTCCTGTGCATTTTCAGGATGAAATCTACAAGAAAAAAATTAAAAGACTGTTAGGAAAAGATGATATTAGTTAAGTCAGTACTCTATTTGACATGTTAACAGTGATTATAAGAATCAAGCAGTGATTCCTTTATTAGAGACAGGCACATTTGAGTATTTTAAGAATCGCTATCATTTTAATATATGAATGTATGTGCCTAAGTTTATGCAGAAATAGTCAAAGTAAAATGTAATCATTTTAAAATATTCAGGAACCTATCTATTCACAGAGAATCTTCAAGGCAACTCATTTGACTTTAGTCCATAGTTCAGTAAAGTTAATTTCTCAGTTAAATATAAATATTCTCTCACAAATTTTTATATACTAAAGACAAAGCTGAGCATGAGGAATAAGTTTTCTGGAGTTGTATAATCATATATGTTGAAAATATACTTGTCAAAACCCAAGACACAAAACTAAGAATAATAAAAATGCTGTTTCTTTAACTTCTAGAGTATAGATTGTTATTTTTGTTTCAACCTCAAAAAACTTAATCTCACAAGTATGAACTAACATTTGCTGTTCTTTTCTTAAAAAATTTGTCATCTAGAAAATTTTAAGCAATGAAAGGACTGGAGACAAGCACTCCATAGATGTGTTTAGCTCACGACATATTTAAATTAGAAGGCACACTAAAGTCTACTATGGAAGCAAGATCATACTTGCCTCTTAACATGCTTGGCTAAAGTCTTCTTGCTTGCATGAAGTTTATTACAATAAGGGCACTTGTGCTCCTTCTTATGAAATTCTGTTTCATTACTGTGCTTCTTTCTGTGAACAGTTAGGTTAGACTTTGTCGAATAGCGCTGGTGACAAATATCACACTCAAAGGGCTTCTCACCTGTGTGAACACGTGTGTGGCTCTCATATTTCCCTACGAAGAGACAGAAATTAAAATTAAATTCAGTACATTTACTACACAGTGACTGAAATTAGACAGTGGAATAAAATCTCATGATAAACAGTACATTTAATAGACACAAATTGAAAGGAACTTACAGGTTAGCAGACCTTTTAAAAATATCACAAAAGGCAACATAGTATGTTATGCAGCTCACATGTTTTCATCTCTCTCCCCACAGAAGGTGATCTGGAAAGTGCGCTACAGATCTGGCATCGCTCAACAAAATTTACCCTTTGCCACAGCCCATTCATACAAGACTTCTCCAACTTGTTAGACATTAGGACACAAAAACGTCACCTGGACTTGACTGCATGCTTAAAACGAAGTTACTGAGGCCAACAGAGGAAATAAAAAGAAGTAAGGAAATAACAAAATGCATGGGTATAATGCAGACACCTGGAGGCATATTAATGTGAGATCTGTATTATATTCTGAATATAATGTCCTAAATTATAGGACCTAATAACCTAAATGTCCATTAACAGATGAATGGATTAAAAAGATGTATGTATGTACACATGTATACACACACACACACACACATAATGAACTATTACCCACCCATAAAAAAATGATGAAATACTGCCATTTGTATCAACATGGATGGACCCTAAGATTATCATACTAAGTAAGTCAAAGAAAGTCAAATATGACAAAGTCACCTATCATATGACAGGTGAATCTAAAAATAATACAAATAAAGTTATTTACAAACAGAAACAGACTCACATACCTAACAAACCTATCATGGAAAAGAATTTATATACATATAAAACTGAGTAACTTTGTTGTACACCTAAAACTAACACAATATTGTAAATCAAATATAGTTTAATAATAAAAAATTGAAAAAAAGAAATTTAACACAGCTTGTCCAAACAGAAAAGTAACAATTAAAAAATGAAATAAAGGATACATTTTGGCTTAATTTTTATTTATATTCCTACTTATGGTAGTGGTGGTATGTTTACTTGCTAAGCTGTGTCTGACTTTTTGCGACCCCATGGACTGCAGCTGGCCAGGCTCCTCTGTCCATGGCATTCTCCAGGCAAAAATACTGGACTGGGTTGCCATTTTCTTCTCCAGGGAATTTTCTGGATCCAGGGATTGAACCCACATCTCTTGTTTCTCGTGCACTGGCAGGCAGATTCTTTACCATTGAGCCATCTTATACTAAAAGCCTTTTGCATCATTATTTAGGATATACAATTCCACATTATAGAGGCAGACCAAAATCAATGATAGGGGCAGAGACCCTGGATCCAGGCACCTGGACATGAATTACGACACTTTAAATTTCAGGCTATCTGACCTTGGACAAGTAACTTTTCTCAAATCTTTCTTATTTGAAAAAGATAATACTGGAATAATGAAAATATGCACAAATAAAAATGGAATAATAGTATTTACTTCTGAGTATTATCATAATAATAAGTCAATTAATACACATAAGACACTACTGTTTTCTAACCCATTATAAGGTATCAATTAACACTATTATTATTACGCTATAATCAAAGTTGTGAATATGCACATCTAGTAGCATAAAATAGAAATTTTAAGTAAGGATACTTCTGAGTGAAATGCAACAGTAAGAAAAAAAAAACACTATCAATATGAAGAGTAATTTTCTATGATAAGCTTAGCTTTGCTTTGTCCTGAAAAAATATATATACAAAAATTTTTCTTCAGGAGAAAGCTAATAGGAACGTATAATTTCCCTCATACACTTTAAAAAAATGCCAAGTCCTATATGTATTATGGGGATTAGATAAAACACAAAATATTCTAAGGCCACTGAGGAGAAAAGATAATCGTAATTATCTGTCTACGTGCACCAACTTATCACATGTATCTAAGATGACTCTTGGAGCACAACCGCTTTACACGGCTAGGCTAGTCTCTGCTGTACAACAGTGTGAACCAGCTGCATGCAGACAGCTGTCCCCTCCCTCCTGGGCCTCTCTCCCCCCGCCCCACCCTCCAGGGCATCACAGAGCACCATGCTGAGCTGCCTGCGCACTGCAGCAGGTTTCCCCTGGCCACCTGTTTCACACATGCTAGTGTATACATGTCAATCTTACCTCCCAGTCCACCCTCCTCTTCCCACCCACCCCGGGGTCCACAAGTCTGTTCTCTACATCTGCCTCTCTTCCTGCCCTGAAAATAGGTTCATCTGTACCATTTTCCTAGATCCCACATATGTGCGTTAATATACGTTATTTTTTCTAACTTACTTCACTCTGTATGACAGACTCTAGGTCCATCCACATCACTCCAAATGACTCAATTTCACTCCTGTTTATGGCTGAGTAATATTCAACTGTACATATATACCACACCTTCCTTATCTATTCATCTGTTGATGGACATTTAGACATACCGTGTTCTTGGATTAGAAGAATCAATATTGTAAAAATGACTATACTACCCAAAGCAATCTATAGATTCAACACAATCCCTATCAAACTACCAATGGCATTTTTCACAGAACTAGATCAAAAATTTTTACTTAGTATAGAAACACAAAAGACCTCAAATAGCCAAAGCAATCTTGAGAAAGAAAACCAGAGCTGGAGCAATCAGGTGCCCTGACTTCAGACTACATTACAAAGCTACAGTAATCAAAACAGTATGATACTGGCACAAAAACAGAAATATAGATGAGTGGAACATGATAGGAAGTCCAGCAACAAAGCCAAGCACCTATGGTCCCCTAATCTTTGACAAAGCTGGCAAGAATATACAATGTAGAAAAGGCAGCCTCTTCAGTAAGTGGTGCTGGGAAAACTGGACATGTAACAGAGAGAAATTAGAACACTTCTTAACAGCATACACAAAAATAAACTCAAAATGGATTAAAGACCTAATGCAAGGCCAGACACTGTAAAATTCTTTGAGGAAAACAGAGGCAGAACAACACTCTTTGACATAAATCGCAGCAAGATCCTTTTTGACCCATCTCCTAGAGTAATGAGAATAAAAGCAAAAATAAACAAATGGGACTTAATTAAACTTAAATATGGTTAAATTTAATAAACACAAAATGTATTATCTAAAAATTAATTGCACTGCACTTACATAACAATACTGAAGAAAGGGAACCAAGGCATTTCCCTTAATTAAGGAGGGAAGGATAACATTATAAGCAAAGAACAACCAAAATATGATAAAAATCCACAAGGTAGTTAAGCACAGACCGTATGACCATCCATGCATCTTTTGCTTCTCTGGTGGTTCAGACATTAAAGAATCTGCTTACAACACATAAGACTGTGGTTCCATCCCCGGGTCAGGAAGATGTCCTGGAGAAGAGAACAGCTACCCATTCCAGTATTCTTGCCTGGAGAATTCCACGAACAGAGGAGCCTTTGTGACCATGGGGTCACAAAGAATTGGACCCAACTGACCAACTGAACATACACATACATATTAATATGCATATAGCATAATTATGTATTACCTTGAACTATCCAAAAAAAGTTGGAAAAGCATGTATTTTTATTATTTTTTGCAGGATATTACCAGAATAATACTGCTATAACATAATTTCTTGGGGGAAGTGTTTTCTGAGTTGATTTTAATCTTTCTCTATTATAATATGGCATGCTTGAATTACACTCAAATTAATTAATTAAAAAAATATAGCATGCTTGTACTGGATTCCAAAATACTTTTTACACATTTATGGGATATCAGAAAAGGTACAGAATCCAAACATTATCAATATGTACTCAGTTCAGTTCAGTTGCTCAGTCGTGTCCAACTCTGCGATCCCATGAATCGCAGCATGCCAGGCCTCCCTGTCCATCACGAACTCCCAGATTTTACTCAAACTCATGACCATCGAGTCAGTGATGCCATCCAGCCATCTCATCCTCTGTCATCCCCTTCTCCTCCTGCCCCCAATCCCTCCCAGCATCAGGGTCTTTTCCAATGAGTCAACTCTTCACATGAGGTGGCCAAAGTACTGGAGTTTCAGCTTCAGCATCAGTCCTTCCAATGAACACCCAGGACCCCAGGACTGATATCCTTTAGGATGGACTGGTTGGATCTCCTTGCAGTGCAAGGGACTCTCAAGAGTCAATATGTACTAATAACCCACAATTTTAATTTGGCAAAGATAGGGGTCATTTTATGGAATTAAAACAAAAAAGTTTTCTGTGATTGTAAAAGTTTTCACGTTTCACATTTTTCATAAGCTTGCTTTTTAAATTATGTAAATAATGAATCAAGAGTATACAGTATGATTTTTAAATGACTAAGTTACAAGTGATTTTTGGAATGGGGCTATTCTTGCCGGGGGATTGATTGACTGCATACTTAGAACAGTCTCAGAACTGAAAGCTAACTTAACCTCCTACTACTCAAGTCTCCTGATTTTTACCCAAGTGACTGGGAAGAGCAACTTAATAAAAACCTTAAATTACAAGAAAAATCTTCCCCATACCTTTTAGTTTCTATGAAAATACCTGTGTTGGGAAGATGTTAAATTAACAATTAGTAGAATTTCCCCTTTATTTAGAGTCAAGAAAGTCTTGCTTGCAAATTAAGTTATATGTAGTTGAATAATAAAGCCATAAGTGGCAGTTAAAGATCAAAACTACTTCTGATTGTTAAACTTTCATTTGCCTACAGACCAGAAGACTTAAGAGGATTTAACCCCCCAAAAAGAAAACTGTTTTAAAATAAATTCAATAAAGTCCAAAGACACCTATGAAAATACATAAATTTGAATAATTCACTGTAACAATCAGTGTCTCTAAAATAAAAAACACATTTCTGCTATGTCAACTCAAATTTATGCACAGAGGCACTGCAGGATATGTTATCTGCATGGCTTTGAATTTCTGAACAATAAGATACACAGCTGCTGAGGGAACACTAAACCACAAAGTCAGGTAAATATACAAAGAAATCCCAGGTTTAAATCAACTGGTAGGGTTGTTGAGGGTGGGGGTTCTCCTCACATAAACACAGACAACAAATCTCTTTTCTTATCGGGTGGGGGGGGGATTCAATAATAATGTATAAATCAAGTGTTTACTTCAAGATTATCAAATAAAGTTTCCATCAAAAAAACCCTCGGTGTTCCTTCACAGAATATTAAATTATGCCCAACCATTCTTGATCACCAATAGAAAATACATAATATTAAGAAATTTCATCCACAGCATTTTTCTGATTGAATCCCAATATGAATTATGTCCCAAATTAGGAGACACAGAATACACATATTTACACGTAACAAAACTTGACCTTGGGTTTCATTCCAAATGGGTCATGCAAAATTATCATCAGATTTCATGTGGAGCTTTTTCAAAGAGAAACATCACCAAATTAGCTCATTATATATCTCATACACCAAATCTTAAATTATACCTGAAATTTATTCATTTGGCATGGCGTGAAAAACACTTCACTAAAATATTTAACTTTAAAGTAGAGAATTATGCCATAAGTCAAAACTCTTCCCTATTCAGAACCAACCAGAATCTGTCAGGATAGTCTAAACAAATCACATTTTTTTTAAAGCTACAAAATATTTTCTGCTTCTAGAAGAGATCAAATTTAATCTAAGGAAATATTTTAGTTCCCAGTAGGAAGGACAGAAAAGACAAATCATCCAAATATTTTTTCTCTCACTTCCATCTGTCATCTTTTCCCTATATGATTTTTGCCTTCTCACCCCGAGGTTTTCCGTTTAAGGGGGAAAGGTCAAAGGACTGTTATCGGCATGTGAATGAGCAGACAGGAGGACAGCTGGAGCCTCAGGAAAAACACAACTGGATCAGGAGTCTGACTCTGAGCGTCTATGAAACACATCAAAAAAGATAAAAGATCCAACGTGAGAGAATCAAATTAGTAAACTACATATGGTTCCAGAGCTTATTAGTTACCTCTCATAAACCCACTCTGAAACAGCAAGTTAAAGGCTTCTTACAAGTCAGATGTCAATCTTTCACCTTAGTTCAATTAAACAGGAGCTTACTGAAAACTTACTATTTCATATAAAATGACCTGGGGTATCATGAAGGATACTAACCAAAAGTAACAGACAACACCTTCCAGCTCACAATCTGATGAGGCAGGGAAATAATAATCAAAATCCTAGGTGGACATTTTAAAAACCTCCTAAAGAAATGTGGGTGATACGAGGGTTATTGGAAAGTAGCCCTGGAAGTGTTTCAAGAATAAAGAGGACTTCTGATAGAGATGATACAGGAGGACACTGAAGAATCACAGGTCTCCTCCATCTGCCTGTTCTTTTATTCTACCCATCACCAGTCCACTGAAGCCTGCAGCTTTGATCCAGCCTGTCCTGCATCCCGTTCCCAACGCCGCTCATCTTCCTAGTTCAAGCCTGCAATAACCCTCTGCTCTTTCCAACTTCCTTCTCTTCCCTGAAGCCAGCTGACCTTTCTAAAACTCCTGTGGCGGTCATTTCCTCTGTTTTCTCAACTTTTTGTCACTTACTAGATAAAAACTCCTCTGCACTGCATACAAACCATTCAACACATGACCTCTGTTCACTTGCCAATCCTCATCTCTCATTACGCCTACTTGCCCACCCTGACGGAGAAGGCAATGGCACCCCACTCCAGTACCCCTGCCTGGAAAATCCCATGGACGGAGGAGCCTGGTAGGCTGCAGTCCACGGGGTCACTAAGAGTCGGACACGACTGAGTGACTTCACTTTCACTTTTCACTTTCATGCATTGGAGAAGGAAATGGCTCAAATGCTACCTGCTCCATGAAATCTTTCCCGATTCCTCTAAGCCTCTGTCCCTGCCCTGATAAGATTATCTTTATTATAATATAATTGTTTTTGCATGTATTCATTAATCTGTAAGATTCCTGACAACAAAGAACATATCACTTCATAGTTGTTTAATGTCTGGCATAGTACAGACACTCAGAAACTATATTAATGATGAATAAGAGCTGCTAGCATTCACTGCACACCTAAATTTTACACAGTATTGTAATTTCATACTATAGTCACACAAATTTCACAGATTATCCTATTTAATCCTCACAGTAACCCCCATGAGAAGGTACTATTAGCTATCATCCATTCTATCTGTGAGGAGACAAAAGTACACACAGGCGAAGTAACTCACATAAGACCTGGAATCAAAAATGCAGGCAGTCTGACATCATCACAGCTTACATTAATGCTTCGTAACCGGTGTGATAAAATCATAATTTCAATCTCTTCTCTCTTTCTCTGAACAGGGGAGAAGTCAGCAGCCCCAATGAGATTAAGCAAAAGAGGGGTTCAATAAGAGGGGGATAATAAAAAACACATTCAGAAAGGAGGCTGGACATAAGCTGACAATGTGATCTATTGATTCCCACATTTATCTGATTATCTGAACTAACCTTTATTCAAAAAGCTGAAAAATGCCTTCTTAGTACATCAAGACCTTAACTTAGGCAGTCTTTTCCCAAATAGTGTGCACAGAACTCTAGTTTCTCAGGGGTTTCCAAATGTCCCGTGATAAAGTTATCTGAGAAAATGACAGGTTAAGTAAAATTAGCAGGTTTCTTTGCTAGAGAATTTGAGAGTGTTAACAGAGATTGAGTATTGTCTTCCTTGTGTTACCTGAACACAGAACCCCTTGCTCACAATGCATCCCACAGGCCCAGTGTTGGATACAAGAGCCTCATATCTATCTGCTGGGCCCACAATGCCACTGGCAGACTGACCCTGCTCTCACACATCTCAAATCAAATTAGGCCAAATTAAGGAAATGGCAACCTATTCCAGTATCCTTGCCAGGAACAATCCCATGAACAGAGGAGCCTGGCGGGCTATAGTTCATGGAGTGGCAAGGAGCCGGACACGACTGAGCAACTGGGCACGACTGAGAACAAGGTATGATACAGGAAGCATGTGATAAGAATACAAAGTCTAAAAAAGCAGAATCAACTGGAAAGATGAAATGTTGTCAGCTACCTCAATTCAAGAATGTTCTTCTGTTCCCTGTAATGCTCACAATACATGTTCACAGCTCTACAAGAACATTTACCAGCCTTAGTTTAACAAGCTACTTGTATCCACACACTCTTCCAACTGACCAGTTGCTCAAAAAAAGTTACTCTATTCATTTGTACAGAAGTTTAAACACAGTAAAAATAGAAATGAATAATTATTCAGTTGGATTGTCAAGAGCATTCTAATTTAGAGAAAAATATTCAAAGGCATAAAAAAGAAAAAAAAGGTACCTACTGCTATGTCATAGTTTACACTGTTGAGTTTTGAGAGCAAATGATTACCAATACCTTATTTAACCAATTTCCTCCTAAGTCAATAACATAAATGAGTGAAGTGAGGTTGCTCAGTCATGTCTGACTCTGTGACCCCGTGGACTGAAGCCTGCCAGGCTCCTCTGTCCATGGGATTTTCCAGGCAAGAATGCTGGAGTGGGCTGCCTTTCCTTCTCCAGCAGATCTTCTTGACCCAAGTATTGAACCTGGGTCTCCAGCACTGCAGGCAGGCTCTTTACCATCTGACCCACTAGGGACACATGGGGATATATTAAATGTATAAGTAATTTTACAAGGTCAAATAATACTTACCTGTTTCTTTTATCATTCTATGTGGTAAAATATATTCCCCAATTTCATAACTATCACTTATATGTAAATAGGTGAACTGCTGCAGTTTTAAAGTTCACATTATAAAGTCCATATAAGACGCCTCCAAAAATTATTTTACTAGCAAGTAAGCTCTCTTGAAATTAAATATTCAGTGACTGCCTGCAATGCAGGAGACCCAGGTTCGACCCCTGGGTTAGGAAGATCCCCAGAGAAGGGAATGGGAACCCACTCCAGTCTTCCTCCTTGGAGAATTCCATGGACAGAGGAGCCTAGTGGGCTACACTCCACGTAGTCACAAAGAGTTAGACACAACTGAGCAACTAACACTTTCACTTTCATATGCTTTTCACTTTCATATCACTTTTCATATGCTTTTCATACATATGCTTTTCTAATAAAGAAAAAATTGATTTATTATTATAATAACCCAAGAATACTATTAGGATACTTCCTAAAGTCTCTGCCTACAGAATGAAGGCATTTCTTACATTTAGTAATTTAGTTTTATCCTTAACTATTCTTAATCTGAAACATCCCAGTTCTAAACAGTACTGGATACTGGAAAAGTGACTATATTTATAACTCACATATTACCACGCTCAAGGGGAAACCGTATAGGAATCATTAAATTACATACAATATGACCTATTTCAATTTTCTATGATGACTCAAATATAGCACTTAAATGAAATTAAATTAGCATATAAATCAAAATGCTACATTCATAATTAATGACACTCTGGAATTTTTCATACTAAACACAGGAACTAATGATCTACTGCCAGGGCATGAGGAAGAGAAAATAAAAGCTAATGTAAATACTTAATTCCTGAGTCACAACAAATTTATCATAACAGGATAAAACACAGATCAAAAATCAAATACCCTCTATACTTTTCAAAAGTTATTTTCAAAGCTTAGTTTTTAATTATCACCTTTAAAATATCCATAAAAAGTAAATTATTAGAGACAAGAAACATGCTTTTTTTCCTTATCAGAGACAAGAAACAAGCTTTTTTTTCTTACCTATGCGGTCAAATGTCTTATCACATTTGGGGCACTGCAGTATTTTTTTGTTACTGTTCTGAATGATTACAGGGGTTAACCCCTCATGAATGCTTCCAACAGAATCACCGGCCTCTGGCTCCTCTTCTGCATCATTCTGATCTTTTTCACTCTGTTCTTCAATGTCAGAATATTCATCTGACATTTCCTCCTCTAGCTCATCTTCTTCAGCATTATATTCACTTCCGGGATCCTCAGAATCATTTCTATCCGACTTTTCCTTATCAAAACTGTCTTGATTCAAATTGTCTGACCCATCACCACTCTCTTGCTCATCATCACTGGTGTCGTCAAACTTAACAGGGCACTTTCGATTCCGTTTTGATCTTCTTGTGGAAAAACTTCTCTCCAGCATTTTTAACCCATGTTTTTTCCCTAATAAAAGAGACCTATGGGTTTTCGACAAATGATTCTCTAAAGACTTCTTATAACAAAAATGTCTACTACAGAATTTACACTGATGATTACTTGATAGTCTTCCAGTTAATTCATTTAGTGTTTCTTCTGGTGATGACTTTTCAGTTAGCTCAGACTGAAAAGTGGCAACATTTTCGTTATTTAGCAGCTTAACTGCATCTATAATATCCAGAAATTTTGCAGCCTCTAAAACAAGAGGGATTTCATATTTGTACACAAAAAATTCTGATGTGTAAAGAAATTCAAGCAAATGCTGAAAAACGGAGTGTGTTACGTGATCCAGGGTGACAACATCCGTGCTCGGATTTTTGCTCAAACATGCATGGAAATAACTACTGCCAACAGCAACGACAACTTTATGGGCACTAAATTCTTTTCCTTCTACTATGATAAGTAAGTCACAGAATGACGGTTGCTTCTGCCTGTCATCATTCAAATACTTCAGCAAGTTCTTATTGTACTGCAAAGAACTCAGAAGTTTTCTCTGATCCGGGGAGGGAGGAAGTTCCTGATAACAGCGCAGGGCTTCAGGAGCTGGTCTTTCTGTGGAATGAGTGTAGGTTACTTGGTCACACTCCTCTACAACATTTCCTTCCGGGGAATCTTTATGGTAGCCTAGATGGATCTTCTCGTCAAGATGTGAAGTAACCTTTCTCCTCTTCTTCATTGCAGTACAACGGTTTCAGAACAAGAAACTTCATAAGTGTCTTGAGGGATTTATGAAGGAAAACAAGATTGTCTGGGATCACAGCTTCTGGAGGGGCGTGCCCGAGGGTTGCATGGTCTGTGAAGAACAGAATAAGAACCACGTAAAACAACTCCACGGCCCAGCGATCCTAAATCACTCGCGGTACAAAATCCTTCCTAAACGAGAAGTAAATAATGACAAAGTCACCGCTTCCACTCATTCGTGGCTGAGATTTTAGGGCGGAGAACGAGGAGGGCCGGGTTAGAAAAAGACAGCCAACAAAAGAATAATTTTGAAGGAGGAAGGGCACACCTTGCAGGCCCTATTCCCGAACAGCGTAGCGGGAAAGGGGGCAGAAGGGGAGGTTCCCCCGAGTCCCCCGGGGGACAGGTTGAGGCGGCCACCTTCGCGATGCAAGGGCGCTGGGGCGCTGACACTCAGGCCGTCGCGGCCGCGGAACCCACGTTCTCCACCCCCCGCCCCCCGCCCAACATAACCACGCTTCCCCCGGGCGGTGAGCCGCACCTCATCCCGGCCGGCGAGCGTCCAAAGGCCGGAGGCGCCCGGCGGGACTGCCCCGGGAGCGGCACGGAGAGGAGATCGGGGTCACCCGGGGAACGACCGCCAGAGCAGAGCCTCCCCGGGCCCCCGCCGGGCCGAGACCGCGCCACCGAGGGCGACCCCCCGCCGCCCGCCCACCCGCTCCCTGCGCGGACGCCCAGCGCGTCCATTTACCCGGGAACGCAGGGCTCCCCGCTGGCTCCCGGCCGCCAAGCTCCACTCCGGGCGCGCTCGCTCCGGCGCCGAGCCACTTCCGGGTTCAGCCCCCGGCCCCGCCCGCCCTTCCCCTGCCTTCGCCCCGCCGCCGCCGCAGCCGAGGCGGCCACCGAACACGTCAGCCGCGCGCAGCCTCGCTGCCGCCCGACACCACCCCCACCCAGCGCGCGGCCCTGCGCATGTGTGCGCGCTCACCGTCCCTGCGCACGCTCCGTGATGCCCCCCTCCAGAGCTACCCCAGCGACGACACCCCGAGCCCGTTAGTCCAGGTTTTCGCGGCGGTTCTGTGGCCGCTGTGACCAAGCCAGTCTGGCCCTGGGGGACAGCCTTGCGGGGACCGGCGGAAGAGAAGACGAGGCGGAGTTGCGTAGGACTGGGCGGGGGCACCGCGGCGCGAGCGGACGGCGTCCTCCCGGCCTGGGGCAGTTCGCGGCGGCCCCTCAGCTGCGGGCGACACCGTCTCCGCCAACGCCGCACCGGGTCTGAAGAACCCAGCTGGACGCAGCTAACGCAGTTGCTCCTAAAATTAGTGTTTGACTTCTTACCGTCAACAGAAAAGTGTACGTATAAGCATACAGCTGGTAGGACAGGAAACAAAGCCGAAACAAGGAGAAAAGAAGGTCCACAGACTAACTTTTGGGGCCAGTGTCCAGGATTGTGCGTCTGTAGCACAGCCCCGGGTGATGCCGGGGTTGGTTCCCCGAAGACTACACGTTTAGTAGAGGGTCCTAGTCGTGTGGTTTTCCAGAACCCGTTCCCGGTTCCCCTGTGGATGGACCTGGTACAGAAAAGTTATTCCTGATACTTGCTAACGGTAAGGCAAACTTTGTTCAGTGGGATTTTTGTCCTGGGGTGGGTAGAGACTGGGTTCAATTCCAGACCAGGAAGAGTGGGAATTTGCAGACCAGGAGCTGCCTGGGGGTGGCAGGCATGTCAGTGGATGGAGAACTGCCCAGAGATAACGCGGGGTGTGGGGGGATTTTGGCTAAACTGACCCAACAGGATTCTGGTTGTAGGCAGGTGGGATTGGTCAGACATCACCTGGTGGGGTGGGGTTGGGGAAGAGGTTAAGGAAGCAGGTATCAGATATAGAGGGGGGGGGGGGGGNNNGGGGGGGGGGTATTCCGGCTAAACAGACCTAGCTGGATAATTGAGGAATGCAGAGACAAGTACAGAAGCTCAAAAGTGAGAACCTAACTGAGAAGGGAGTTTAGAGGAGCCTGATTAAAATTTGGTCTAGGAGAATCTTTGTTAGACCTCATCCAATCAGTGGATCGTCTTAGAGCAAAGACTGAGCTTTCTAGCGAAGTTGTTCTCCTCAGGACTTCAACCTGAAAACTCTGCCTGGGTTTTCAGCCTGATGCTGTGAAGTGTTTGGACTGAAGATTGGAACATAAACTCTTACCTGAGTTTCCTATGGAAACTTCTATCCATAGGCCTGTCCTATGGATTTCAGGCTTACTAGCCCCAAGAATCAACCATGCAAGTCAATTCCTTAGAATATCTATCTATCCTGTCAGTTCTATTTTTCTGGAGAACCGTCACTAGTACACTAGCAATGAACAATAGGAAAATAAAATTGAAAAATAATGCCTTTGTAGTTTCCTCAACCATGTGGCACCAACATCCAGGTTCCTAAGGTGTCAGAAGTCTTTGTCAAAGGAAGTAGCAGTGGGGTGGGTGCCCACAAGGAAAGCGCAGAGCCAGAAAGCCAAGACAGAAGATCTACACTCTTGAGAACCTCTTTCCTATAGCTTCCTTTTGCTGATCTGTCGTGGTCTTAATTCAACATCCTTTAAAAGGCTGTTTCACAAATTTATTTCTGAAGATGAAAATGTGTGTCTTCGTTTACTCACTGAATATCCATTGAATAACTATTCTGTACCCTGCATGTAACATTTTAAATAAAGTTAGTCATAAAAGGTGTTATTTGACAGCGTCAGAAATATAAAATACCTGGGAATATGAAATACCTGAGCACTCTCCCTAAAACACAATTCAGAGACATTAAAGAAGACCTAAATAATTGAAATATGTCATATTCATAGATTAGAAGAGTCCATATTGTAAATATGTGGATCAAGGGACTTCTTTGTTGGTCCATTGTCTAAGACTGTATGCCCCCAATGCAGGGGGCTGGAGTTTGAACTCTGGTCAGGGAACTAGATCCCACATGCTGCAACTGAGACCCAGTGTAGCTAAATACATGTTTAAGAAAATCAAAAGGCAGATGAAGGGAATATATTTGAAAAACATATGTCCACCAAGTAAAAAGAACTATTACAGCTAATGAGAAGGAAAAAAAATATTTAAAATGAGTAAAATACTTGATCAGACATTTCTTGAAAAGAGATAAATATATGAAAGGTATTATCTTTAAATTGCATCTTAAAGGAGATTCTTATTAAAGCCACAGTGAGGTCCATCCATAAGAATAACTATACTTGACTGATAATATCAAGTGTTGATGAAGATGTTTCAGCTGGAAGATAGATATACCAACTGATGATGATACATCAACTGGAAATCTCAGTCTTAGTTGCAGCTCTTGGGATCTTTGCTTCGTCATGCAGGATTTTCTCATTTTCGGTGTGTGGACTCCCTAGTTGTGGGAGGGCTCAATAGTTGAGGCTCAATAGTTCCCAGACCAGGGATTGAACCCACATCCCCTGCATCGCAAGGTGGATTCATAACCACTGAACCACGAGGGAAGTCCTTTATTCACTTCTTCCTGAAATGTAAAATGGTATAAGCACCTTAGAAAACAGTTGAACAATTTTGGAAAGTCACACGTCATATAGACTAGCCATTCCATCTTTATTCAAGAGAAATCAAAGTGTTATATCCACACAAAGTCTTATATACAAAGTTTTATAGCAGCTTTACTTATGATAGCCCCAAATTGGGATCAACCCAAATGTCCAATAAGAGGCAAGTGGATAAACAAATATGTAGAATACTATTCCTGCAATAAGAAGGAACAAAGTAATGCCAAAGGCAACAACCTGGATGAGTCTCAAACTACTCAAATGGTAAAGAATTCACCTGCAATGTAGGAGACTAGGTTCGATCCCTGGGTTGGGAAGATCCCCTGGAGAGGGAAATGGCTACCCAGTCCAGTATTCTTGCTTGGGAAAACTCCATGGACAGAGGATCCTGGCGGGCTATAGTCCATGGGGTTGCAAAGAGTGAGGCATGACTGAGTGACTAACGCTTTCATTACTTAGCAGTAAGAAGGAACAGACTAGTGCCAAAGGCAACAAAACAGATAACTATGAATGAAAGACAAAATGAGTATATTCTATATGATTTGATTTATCAAAAAACTACACAAACTACAGATTAAAATGACAGTTTTTGCTTAGTCACAGCAGGTGGCACCAGAATTTGTATAGATTAAAAAAGCGCACAAGAAAAATTTGATTTTAGTGATAATTTCACTAGCGTATACATATAGCTGATCAAATTATACACCTTAAATTTATACAGAGTATTGCATGACAGTCAATTAAAGTCATTAAAATATGTCACAAACACAGACATGCAAGGAAACAATGGAAAAGTTGAAAGTCCACAAATCAAAATTCACAGGTCAGTTTACTATTTAAAAAGGTAAAGTTTCCAGTCTGTGACAAAAATATAAGGCTGTCCAATAAATTAAAATAGATAAACAGGTAGGCATCAGGAATAAAAGTAAGTTGTATATAACCTCAGCTAATAAAGATAAATTTCAGATGAATAAAAAAATAAATTTAAAAATCTAACCTATAAAAGGACTATAACAAAATAACAGTAAAATTTGAAGGTCTCTCTCACCATGAGTCAGAATTTAGAAGCAATTAAGGGAAGAAAATTGTTAAATCAACTATATAAACTTAAAAATATTTTACACGGAAGAATTCTAGTATCAGCAATTCCAGTATCCCCTCCCACAAAAAAAGTGACATTGCTCAGTCGTGTCTGACTCTTTGCCATCCCATGGACCGTAGCCCACCAGGCTCCTCCCTCCATGGCATTTTCCAGGCAAGAGTACTGGAGTGGGTTGCTATTTCTTTTTCCAGAGGACCTTCCTGACCCGGGGATTGAACCCAGGTCTACCACATTGCAGGCAGATGCTTTACTATCTGAGCCACCAGGGAAGCCCACAAAAAAAGGACCCTAATAAACACCCCATGTTTTCAGCTGGAACTCTGAAAGTCCCAACCTGTGAGTAAGAGTGTACCAGAAATAGACCAGTCGTCATGCACTGAAGCTCTTAACGTTTTTTTTTCCTTATTTGAGAAAGACAATGAGGAACTGCTCCTTCTTTTAGCCTACCTGCCTGCCAGAAGCAAAACCAATCCTGTCTTGATTATGATGACATCATCCTCGTTCTACATGACTTGTGGGATCTTAGTTCCCTGACGAGGTATCGATCTTGGGCCCTCAGCAGTGAAAGTGTGGTGTCATAATCTACCGCCAAGGAATTCCTAACTTGTTAAGTTTTAATATATAATATCCAGCCTCAAACACACACCTATACATACAAAGGCTATTTCCAAAAAAGTAAGAGACAAAACAGATAAAACAGATCCACAGAAGATGAAGAAAATGAATTTATTAGGCCAATACAGCAACAACAAATAAACTATGAGTGACACGTTCAAGGAATTGACAGAGAATATTGAAATTTTAAACAAAAAAATGGAAATCAAATACAAATTCTAGAACAGGAAAATATAATAGGTAAATCTAAGAAGACTGGGTATGTTTAACCTACGATTAGAAAGAACTGAAGAGAAACTATTGAAGTAAAAGATAAATCAGAAGAAATATCCAGAATAAAACACAAAGAAACCAAGAATAGGTAATACAGAAAAGAGGAAAAGAAATCTTTAGAACACATAAAACACCAAACATTCTTAATAGAACCACAGCAGCAGGAGAGGAAAATGAGAATGAGGAAGATGTAGCATTTTAAAAAGAATAGCTGAGAATTTCCCATTGATGAAAAATATCAAGCCAGAGATTCAAG